GGTGTCCACACACCCTCCTCCTCAGGCAAGCCTGGGGGGGTTGTCGGTTTAGTCGCCGACGACTCGACTTTGCGACAGGTTGTACTGGGTTACATAGTACCAGTAGCAGGTTACCCGCGGTTACGGCGACCTGACCTGTTGCAGAATCAAGTTGCGGTTACAGCGACCTGACCTGACCTGTTCACTCTTAATAGCCTGCTGAATCCGTTGTTCAATTTTGCCGGTGACAAAGATATTCGAAGAGCAATCCGTGTCAAGTTAACATGTCGTCGCCAACGTGGTAATCCACCGACTTTATTTATCACCCGAAGGAGGGAGGGGAGAGGTAAGAGAAGGTTTGGGAGATCACATGGTTTTTCAGGTGGAACGGAGGGGGGAATCAGTCATCGCTAATAGACTAAAAGGGGAAATATAGAAAATTGATTGTCAATTGAGGAGGAATCACTAACATGCCAAAGATCCCCAGGGGGTATCAGGTGAATTCAATTGTGATATAACCAAAATCCTCCTCCCCCTCCCCTCTCCCCAAATTGTTTGATAACGACCAGTCTCTAGAGATGAAGTTGTCAGACTAGAAAAACCTAAATTGAAGAAAAACATAATACAGTTGTTTAAGAAAAATAGGCTTTTAGCCAGAGTCGATAGATTAATATCGCTGCGATAAGAACGGTGATTGTTATACCTGCTTCCTTAAATAAGTTTTTCGATTGAAGGAACGCGTCACGTGCCGTGACCAAGGTCGGGCGGAGACAAAAGCCGATAAAGTCCTTAGAGGGGCACAAAAGACTAAAAGTACTCGACTCCGATTCAGAGTAGAAAACGCCTTGTTAGTTTGAAAGCTAACTCTTCAACTATAGAATGTAGGCCTAAATTTCCTTGAACGGTCTTTGTAGTCTATTTTCTTGAAATTTTAAAAGTACAGTTTCGCCTTTTAAGTATTTTGAAATTCAGTTTTTTTTAGGCGTCTTGACAGCATTGCCAGTGCTGTTTGATTGGATCCAAATGTAGCCGATATCGAGTTCGCGACTTCGTTGACCGTGATTTTAAGTTACAAACAGTTTTACTAAATATCTCAGTACTAATATGATAAAATTACTAATACAAAAGTAAAATTACTTCATGGCTAGTTCCCTTACAAGTACGATTTTTATTCACTTGTTATGAAGAATCGCAAACTCGCTCACTCGAGGACTCGCTCATTCGTTTATGGTCTATATATAGATTTAGGTTTCTATGAAGATTACATCATTGGTGATCGCGTGCGATTTTTTCTCAGGGGTTATGAAGAATCGCAAACTCCCTTGCTCGAAGACTCGCTCGTTCGTTGGCGATTCTTCACAACTCGTGATGATGGAAATCGTACGCGCTCACCAACCATGATCCAATCTATATAAAACTCAAGCGCTTGAAGAAATCAAGTCGGACAGTTTACAATCTCAAGAAGGCTGATTTACCTGGCTTGAAGCCCACTTTGAGGAATCACTCTCGGGACACTGTGTTTGTAGATAATGACACTGACGCCAGTATTGCTTACTGGTATGACATGTTTTTATCGTGTGCGGATGAATTTTTTCCGAAAGTGGTAATCAAGGATGCCAAATGACCGCCATGGATTGATAAAGAGGTATTACTGTTAATTAGAAAGAAGAACAGAACTCGACGTAAAGCTAAGTTAAAGGACTCTGTAAATTTATGGGAGAGATTTCGTGAGCTCAGACGACAGGTTAAGAAAATGGTTAAATTTAAAAAGTTTAGTCTCCTCACTAAGCTTAGTTGTTCCTTAAACACGAAGGCGCGCTAAATAAGGAAGTCTTCCCTGGGAAGACCTAGGCTCATTTGTCACTCACCGTTGACGTGTGCGGGTCAAATTTAAATGCTGGTAGACGAACAAAAGGAGCTAATGAGATATCTATTGTTTACTTCCACCAGCATGGTGGCATGAGGTAACGTGCGAACCACCTACTTCGATCTCAAATTTACCGCCACAAATAAAGACAGTGTCCATTGGAGAAAGGGAATACAAATCTCAAAAATTCTTGTATTGTGATGAAGACATAAAACAATTTTTAGGAATGCGCCCGCTGTCCACTGCTTTGGAGTAGCTGTAGCTCAAGCTGACTTGACTCTAAGAGTTCTACATCACACGACGGTTGATTGACAAATGGTCCAGTGGGACCTAAGGCTCCTTTTATAGCGCGCCCTCGTGTTTAAGGGACCATCCTGGCAAATTCTTGTCATATTACAAAGCGATTACTAAAACTACTAGAATTCCTGGGGTAATCTAAACACGAATCGGTACAGGCTACTGAATGATCTAGCTAATTTATTCAACGTGTTTTTCACTCAGTTTTTGCCCCATCTGACACTAGCAGCGCTACTGCATGTTTACCCAGACTCAATTACAGCGCTAAACGTAAATTATATGAAGTACGTCTTAACCCTCGCAACATTCTTAAACAGCTCCAATCGCTTTAGGTTGACAAAGCTTCCTTGGCTCTTTTCAGTAAGTTATTGCAAGCATGTGCTAATGATTTTCACCTCAATTTGTCCTTAGAGCTTGGGACATTTCCAGAAAAATGGAAAGATGCAAATCTTGTCCCTATAGAGGTTTTGCACAGCAGCCATGTTGGATGGCAGGAACAATGAAAATATTTTGCGTAAGAAAGAATGCATGAGAAATAATTTTTTCCCATGGGTAAAATAATCTATTGTTCCTGCCATCCAACATGGCTGCGATGCAAAACCTCTATTCATAAATGTGAGTCTTAGACAATGGTCTCAAACTACCGTGGCATTTCGCTTCTTTCTAATGAGATCTTTAGTATTATTTACCCGCATCTTACCCACTGGCAGCATGGGTTTCTACCAGGAAAATTCACTGTGTCTCGACTATCTCAAGTTGTTCTTCAATTTGATAACGCTCTTGAGAGGAGATAACAAGTTGATGCTGTTTATTTAGATTTTTGTGAGGCTTTTGACCGTGTGTCTCACGAAAAACTTTTATTTAAGCTTGAATGCCTTGGTATTGGTGGATCCTTGTTAGCTTGGTTTACATCATATTTATCTGGTAGAAGACACAGAGTTGTGATAGATAACGAGTCGTCTGATTTCCTCCCTGTAACATTTAGAGTCTCGCAAGGGTCTTTACTGTTTTTGCTTTTTATCAATGATATACGTAATGCAGTTTCAAAAGAGACATGGTTACCCCTCTTTGCTAATGACTCTAAGGGTTTTCGTTTAATTCTTGGGCAGGATGACGGCGACAAATTGTAGGATGACTTGACTAAGTTATTTCAGTGGTCTCGAACTTGGGGGATGGAGTTTGATGCCAAAAAGTGTAAGGTTTTAAGGATTGCTCGTATAAGATCACTTGACGATAGGAACTATTATCTTGGTGGGATTAAGTTGGATCGTATTGATGTTGAGAAAGACCTAGGGGTTCTGGTAGCCACAATTTAAGCTGGAATAATCACGTTGATCTTATCTCCTCTAAAGCTAAAAAAAAATGCTCAACGTCCTTTATCAAACAAGCCGGAACATAAATGATATTAGTACAAAGAAATTACTATATATTGCTTGGGTTCGCTTGCGCCTTGAATATGCTAGCGTGATATGGTCATCTTATACCAAACGAAACATCAACAATTTGGAACAAGTTCAACGCAGGGCTACAAGATTCATACGAGCGCCTTAGAAAGCTAAATTTATTACCTTTGAAATATCGAAGAGAAATTAATGATTTAGTCTTCTTTTTTTTAAGTGCCTTAAGAATATATCTAAGTTAAACATTTTCGATTAGGTATTGTTCGCTTTTGTACCAAACCACTTAGAAATGATGATCATTTAACGCTTGAGGTCCCTTTCAGCAGGACTGACTTCTTTAAGAATTCTTTTCAGTTTTTGTTCGAATTCGCCGACTGTGGAATGAGTTACCTCCTACAGGAGCCCATGGGCTCCTACCTCCTGGCCTAGTATAAGAGAATAAAGGCTGATAGTTTTTAAAGAAACTGTTTGGGGCTGGGTCGGTGGGGGTAACGAAATAATTTGGATATATCAACAAAGTTGAAATGGTAAATTGGCCACCGTTACGATTACAAAAGCTGACGTTTCGAGCGTTAGCCCTTCGTCGTCGCTCCGACGAAAGGCTAACGCTCGAAACGTTTTTTATGATATATATATTTTTGAAATTTATTACTTAATTATTTCTTTAGATATATCATTATGACGTAATAATAGGTAGCCTAATTTTAAAGGAGCCTTGTACTCTGTTTTAAGCCTACCTAAGATTGATCTTTGTGATTGTAAAATCTGAAATTTGATGAAATTAAATTAAAAAAATTAAAAAGATATATGAACCTAAAGTCTTCAGGTGAACGTGTTTGCAGTATACGTGATCAAAGATTTGACTTGGTACGTCGAGGAATTTCGCCCCTGGGGCGATGATGTTTGTGAAGTGCGTGCGAAGGTTTTATTTGCATACATAGGTCATGCCATTTGTTCACTTGAATAAAACTAAAGCTACTTGAGTGAGTTCTCTAAAGGAAACCTTGCTGAGCCCCAACTTAAATGGATGGAAGAAACGACAGTGAAAACGTGTTTAAAAAACTGAAACGGTTCTTTGCTGGTAAAAGGTGCCAAGATAGCTCGTGGTCGTGGGCGGTGTGTTTTTCAGCGGCTGTGTGCAATGCAATCAATCTTGGCTTTGCTCTCAGTTTTGGAGTTTTGTTCCCAGAGTTGATGAAGTACTTTAATGCCACAAGAGAGAGGACAGGTATTAAAAGCTGGTGATAAATCTGTTTCAGTAGTGGAAACTTTCAATTTAAAAATTGATTTTATCATTCAATTCTCATAAGAACACAGGCTTAGGCATGAAGGCGCACGACGAGACAATCATGGTAATAATCAGTTTGAATAAAACGGAAGAGCTTCAGCGGAAGCGACGGGAGACCGCTTTTTCCTTTCTTTCTCTCTTTTTATTTTAATAACTACTGGAACAGTGGTATGGCAAACCTGCGTTCTAGTAAACCATGTTCAATTTAGCTTTTTAAAACGTTTTATTGGTCAAAACTTTGATTTTTGTTCACTAATAAGAAGGTCTGTTGGATAAGAGACCTTTTAAGACTAGTGACACGCGTCATGCAATTCAGTATGTTAGGTAATCATCAGGTTTCAGTCTTGTTACAGAATCTTCGGGTTCAGTTTTTTTGATTGACAGTTTTATACAAAAAAGTGTGAGCACGCGGTAAAAAAGGTGAAGCAGGATTTTTTAGTTCGAGTGAAAAAGTAGTGTAACCGTTGTTGTTAAGGGAAGTTGTTCGCAGTAAACCGTAGCCGAAATCGTGTGTTTTGTTTACCGTGTTTCATCGAAGCTACATCTGCAGTATGCAACGAAGACAATCGTTCACTTCAACCAACCCATCCATAGTGTATTCATGTGGTCCACTATTTAATTTGTCCACGGTCTGCAGTTTTTGACAGATTTCGTTGAAATCAGTAATTTACTTTGTAGAGTCTTTCCCCCTGCAGTGAACCAAATAGGGAATCTTTCATATAAAATCATAAACCTGCGGCTGTCTGTTGATAACGTGAAATCGAGTGAAATTTTAATTATTTGCGGTATGAGCTGCGAATCGAACATATAATGGCGGAAAAACTTTTACATCAATGATACAGGATAACAAGGAATAGATGTGAACAGATCGAATGATAAAAACCATCCAACCAATTGTGGAGTTTACGCAGTTAGAAATTATGGAAGCGTAACCGAAAGAATTCAGGTTTTTAAAACGTTTACCATGTAACATCCATTAGAGTGACCTTTTTTGACCAAGTTGTAAAGGATCAGTTTAGTATGTATTAAATAGATTGTTCTTGTACAGATGTTTCTACTGTTGCACGAAATTCTAAGATCTTAATGATGATGGATGGCCAGAGTATGTTCTGGCTCATGGAGTAGATAAGATGCGGGTTGCAAAACTAGATTTAGGCTGGTGAACGGAAAGAAAAAGACGTATCACGCTGAGATGATTCATTATTATCATAAATCAGCTGCAAGTTAGCATAAGTAAATTACTATTATAATACTGCCCTAACTGTTTATTTTAGATGGCAGGGTTGTCGTTGAGTTGTTTCTGAAGAGGAACATGATAATTTACTCATGAAGAGTCATTAACTATTATCATTTTTTTGCTAAAGATATCTTTTTACTAGCTAACTTTGTGTTAGTGCTTATACTACTGAGATGTATGGAACTAGTATCAATAAAAATCGTCTTTTTCGACAGCTTGGGTTGGTTCCATCGGTTTAGCCATGGTTTGGTTTGCAAGTTTGCCCGCTGGATATCTGTGTGATCGCTTTGGATGTCGCATCACGTGTTTCTTGGGAGGACTGCTGTGCATTACAGGTTTGGTAGCGACTTCATTCGCCAACAGTCTCGCTGTGATGTACTTTACCTACGGTTTGGTGTACGGTTTAGGGGCCTGCCTCATTTACAACTCTTACTACCTGGTGGTTGGAAAGTATTTCAAGACAAAACTCTCAATAGCTGTTGGTATAACGGCATTAGGATCTGGTGCAGGTGTCCTTTATAATGGCCCGTTACTTCAGGTTCTTTTGGACGCGTTTGGATGGAGAAACACCTTTAGAATAATGACGACAACATTCGCTCTTGTTTGCATTTTGAGTTTGAATTTCAGTCCAAACGTAGTAGAAACAACATCGGAGGTAGATGTGGAATCAGAAACAGACGTCGAACAAAAAGTTGGAATTAAGGGTAGAATCACTTTTTATTGCAGCGTGTGGACGTTTCCTGTTTACACTTTTGTCGTCATTTCTATAACTGTGGGAAGTTTTGGCATGTTTATTCCTATTATCAATCTGGTTAGTATACTGTTCATAGTACAGCCAATACGTTCGTCTTTATTCCTACTTTGTTAAAAGTGAGGGAGGGGGGGTAGGGCTCATTCGAGGGGTGCTTATTTGACATTTTGGCCTAGAGGTGGGTGCTTACATGGGGGAGAGCGCTCACTCGAGCGTGGGCGCTTATTCGAGGAAATCATGACGTACGATAAATATTTGTTATATGTGTTAATTTGGAAGGAGGTCAATATTTAAGAACACCTGTGTCATATGTGAGTTCTTGAGAATTGTTGCATGAGCTATGCATGGTCTTGAAAATTCTTCTGTCCGAGATGCATGCTCTTTCAGGTTGTATGCTACGCTGAAGGTCTCGCTTGCAAAAACTTCATGTCCCAAGTCATGAGTTGAAAATTAAATAAACCCCCTTCTTAACAGCCTTTGGGAAATTAAGCAAGTATTGTCTCGAGATTCTGGTAGTATTTTGGAGGCATATAGTCAGCCTCAGTTCAAGCATCCATTAATGTGGACTAGGCGCATGGACTATTAACTAAACGCGTGGAACAAACTGGTCATAACCATGGATTCTGTGACCTGCACACGAATTTAAATCACAACCTTTTAACAATTCTCTTTAACATCTGGATGTTTGTGCTGATGACCTGTGTTCTCATGAAGTTTTCCCTTTGTCGCCTCCTCCCCGCCTTTCCCGTCATGCTCTCTTGAAAAATTATAAAGCCACCACTAGTCTGTTTAATCACAATCAGGTCAAATATTGTGAAGATCTTGGTATCACGGCCCAGAGTGCCTCTCGACTGTTCATCTTTATTGGCCTTGCCTCATCCCTTGGACGGATTCTGTCAGGAAACCTGTGCGACAATCCAAAAGTCAACCCAGTATTTGTTTATCAGTCATCCCTATTTATCGGGGGTGTATCTACGCTCCTGTTACCTTCCGCAACTAAATACTGGGCCTTAGTTGTATTCAGCTGTGCATATGGATTAAGCGATGGAATTCTTATATCATCATCGTGCTATATTTTGCTCAGTTGTGTGGACAAAAAGAGAAAGACAGCTTCATTCTGTATCGAATGCCTGCTTTATTCATTTTCAGCAGCGACTGGAGGACCTATTGCTGGCAAGTATTTTTGAACACAAAGCTTAGGTGTTACTCTACTAAAAACCATTTTGTTTGGACTAAAGACTCTTGCATGTACATGTTCCTGTTATCCAAGGTTTTGTTTCCATAGGAAAGGATTTTTTCCATCTTAATTATGTTGTGAAAACGTAGATCCCTTTCTTTCAAAGTAAGGAAAAGAGGTTCGAAATGGCTTTCACATGGCAGCACATGCACCTTTCAAGCTCCTCGTATGGTAGCTCTGTCAGTCAGGAAAAGAGGGTCGTGGTGGGAAATAGAGTGCAGAACTATAAAGAGCGTACGAAAATTGAAAGTACTTCCAGTTTTTAAGCCACTTATTCTTAAAATGTTACACATTAAAAGGGAAAGGGATTTCCATTCAGTTAGGCCTAGTTTATACGTCGCGCTACAGTCGAATTTAACTCATACGAATTTAATTCCATTAAATTCGTCTTTCCGTCGACATAAATCGTGGCGTGGTTTTATGCGTCGAAATCAATACGGACGAATTTAATTCTCTTCCCAAATGCAGTGCCTCTGGTCAGAGGTATCACTCGAAAAGATCGCCACGGCTCGCTGCGGACTCCCCAAAATAAGTATAGGTAATCGCATGGGGCCGAATAAAATTAAGGATTAATATCACGCGTGTTTTCTGAAGTTTCTGAAATTGCCCGAGTCGCGCAGCGACGGGGGCAATTTCTGCAGCTTCCAAAAACACACATATTAATCCTTAATTTTACGAGGAACCATGTGATTACTTGTTTATAATATAAGGGGCAAAATGTTTTCTTACTGATCTCGCGTAAAACGTGACGCCATTGTTACTAAACAAACAGAGATTTCTTTTCCTTGGCAGCCGTTGCTAAGCGATTTTCAGCCAATCATTTTCAAGTAATTTTGCCGTGGCAATTACAAAAATTAAGAAAAAATTCCCTCTGTCTTGACCAATCACAATTCAGTAATTTTGCTCCTTCTATGATAAATTAAGAAAATGTATGCATTTCATTCGACGCGACGCAAGTGCGACGCTAAAACTGAAGACGCGTTATCGATATTTTATCCGTCTTACCAAGACGGATAAAACGTCTAGGACGAATTTAATTTACCAGACGAATTTAACTCGTTTTAGACGTCGCGCTGTCGTCGAATTTAATTGCTTGTGAGACCTTGAATTAAATTCATCTGAATTAAATTCGACTGTAGCGCGACGTATAAACTATGCCTTAATGCTTTCTTTCTCTTTCTTTCTTTGGTTTTACATTGGTTTCCACGCAGGACTGATGGCAGACCAAACAGGGAACTATATCTATTCGTTTTATATGGCCGGTGGTGTTGTGTTGCTTGCATTCTTTATTCCCTTTGCTTTGATTTTCATCAACCGGAGGAAGTCTCAAGTCAGTCCAATAGTTTCAGAAGAAATGAAGAACCCAGGAGAAAGGACTGCTGCTCCAAGATCCACTGTGGCACCCAACGACTTCCCTGCTCAGAGCTAATTAAAAATGTACTTGCATTTGATACCATGGAAGCTAAGCCTTACAGGGGCAGTTATATTTCGACGCACCCATCTTTTCCTGCAAATTCGCTAGTGTCTTCAGAGTAATAGTTCCTCGTCTTTTATAGTGAAACTAAAAGCATCGTTATTCCATTTCATATAGATGTAAATTTCTGTCTGACGAGCGCTTAGACGCTTAGGCGCGAAACTCTGAGAGTCACAGAGAATCGACGCGTCCCCTTTAATTATTTAACTTATGTATACTTAGCTCTGCTACCACAGCATTACGCACTTTACGCCAAGGTAGACTCTACCCCCATTTATTTACATGCAGCTGACGAGAGAGGACTTTTTAACCCTTTCGAAACAGATTTGTAGTGTAAAGTTTTAGTGCGAATTTTTAATTTTTATTTTCCTATACAATTGTTTATATATATATATATATAAATAGAATAAATGTTTGAAAAGAAAATTTGCCTTGAGCGGGATTTGAACCCACGTCCCCCTTTTACTAGTCAGGTGCGATGACCACTACACTATCAGGACAACCATGCTGGCAACACGGCAATCGAAGATGTGATTTACGTGATCGGAGACGTGGTCTCCCGGGAAACTTGATTTTCAAGGTGACAGGGTAGAGGAAGCCTATAACCCCATATGAAACCCAACTAAGGATGTATTAAAGATACACGACCGAAGTCAACTTAGCGGATGACAAAGGAGGATCCAATTACGGATACAGGCTAATTTCAATTGAACAAATTCTGTATACAAGGGAAACCCTGATCCTGCACACCCCAAATAATCATACTTAAATAGAATAAATGTTTGAAAAGAAAATTTGCCTTGAGCGGGATTTGAACCCACGTCCCCCTTTTACTAGTCAGGTGCGATGACCACTACACTATCAGGACAACCATGCTGGCAACACGGCAATCGAAGATGTGATTTACGTGATCGGAGACGTGGTCTCCCGGGAAACTTGATTTTCAAGGTGACAGGGTAGAGGAAGCCTATAACCCCATATGAAACCCAACTAAGGATGTATTAAAGATACACGACCGAAGTCAACTTAGCGGATGACAAAGGAGGATCCAATTACGGATACAGGCTAATTTCAATTGAACAAATTCTGTATACAAGGGAAACCCTGATCCTGCACACCCCAAATAATCATACTTAAATAGAATAAATGTTTGAAAAGAAAATTTGCCTTGAGCGGGATTTGAACCCACGTCCATAGTCGGGTTTCATATGGGGTTATAGGCTTCCCCTATCCTGTCACCTTGAAAAGTTTAATTTCCCGGGAGACCACGTCTCCGATCACGTAAATCACATCTTTGATTGCCGTGTTGCCAGCATGGTTGTCCTGTTAGTGTAGTGGTCATCACACCTGACTAATAACAGAAGGGACGTGGGTTCAAATCCCGCTCAGGGCAAATTTTCTTTTCAAACATTTATATATGTATAAGTTAAAAGGCCTCGAGCCAACAGTGACGCCGCGCCAGAAGGATCCAAAAGGATTCACAGTCCAAACCTGGATAAATGGTAGGAGAAGTAGTGTAGCACACGAGGATGGACAAATTCGAGCGAAGGAAGACGTATACTCAATAAAAAGTGTAAAAAGTTTAATAAAAAACGTTTCGGTCCGAGACCTTCATCAGTTGTAATACAATGACTTAAAAATTCCCTAAATAGATTTATATAGGGCGTGATGACACATATAAACAAACACAGTAATTACTACGCGAAAAATTATCACTATAAAAAGAAATAGAAAAATTGTCGAATCCACTGAAAATGTAAAGGAACCAGCGTTGACTTGAAAGGCGAGAATTGTACTAAAATTCCCAATTAACGCTGAGACTGGGACCTTTGATGCCCGCCCAANGATATGAGATGATTATAGCCAACGAGGCGCGTAGCGCCTCGTTGGCTATCTATCATCTCATATCCAACACGCGCGAGTGGAATAATTGTTAAATATTCAGCAGTACGCATGAATCGGCATGCAGGCCAACTAACCTTGAAATTTTTTTTCACTACCAATTGACCTAGGAAGATTAAACATATGTTTTTAGAATATTAACCCAAACACTTTTACAAGAACGTGACAATTAAAAGCAACGTAATAGATGTTTCCGATCAACCGAATCAAACTTTGACTGCGTAAACCGAGGCAAGGTCAGTCGGACAAACTAGGCACGTCCACTGATGGAAGTTAGACAAGACTGTCAGAAAAAGGAAATTCATCACGACAGCTTAACCTAAACAACATCGGACTTGGAATGCAAGTCTTGATTAGATTCTTTATAAATATAAACAAATGGTCAAATCATGCTTCACTAGATAACTCCTACAATCAGCATTCAGTACACGAGGTGAGTTTGCTGAAAAAAAAAAATGACTGGGCTTAAATGCTCCTCAATTTTCCACCATACGCTAGAAAAAAAACAGATGAACTTTACTTCGTTGTCAAAACCAGTGCTTAAATTGATCATTAGTATTATTATGAATTGCAGCATTATGATTTCTTGTCCTCAGGGCATCTTTGTCTAACATGCCTAATTCACTCCTTACATCCGAACGAACAGTGAAATACAGATACAGATTTATCATCAGCTTACCTGTCCACCCTCGTGAGGCGTTAAAGTGCCTCCTCAACTCTGGGAACAAAACTCCGAAGTTGAGAGCAAAGCCAAGATTGATTGCATTACACACGGCCGCTGAAAAACACACAACCCACGACCAACGAGCTATCTTGGAACCTCTTACCAGCAAAGAACCGTTTCACCTTTTTAAAAGCGTTTTCGCTGTCTTCTCTGATCTCCATTTAAGCTGAAATTTACCAGATTGCTTTAAAAAGAATTTATTTATTTGACCCATTAAAAAAAAAAAAAACAGTGTGGAATGTGCGACACGCGCCTTGATGTTTTTGTGAATAAAACCCTGTCATCTGGCTATGTAATATGCCCCTGGGATGCAGGACTTCGTTCAGTTATTCCTCTTATTTACCAATTTAGGTCTTCCACAGGTGATCCAAGCTCACACAATTTGCCTCCGTAAATATGTAAATATTAGGGACCTTAAGCAACCACGAGGGCGACAGCAACGAGGACGTGGAAAAACAAGAGATCTAATTGGCAGAACAATAGCTCAGCACGTGCGTGCGTTTTGAAACTTTGTACATTTCTTAGCCGTCCTATGCAAAACAACAACGTGAAATCGCCAAAATTTGCGTCGTCTGCGAACCGAAACCGCGACGGCAAATTATTTTAATTTCCATTTGGAACTCAACGATACTTTTATACGTCATGCTGAAGTTGAGCTGTGGCGCCGTATGAGACAGTAAGCTCCTGCAGCCATTTTTGAAATTCTAACTAAGAGTAGAAATTAATTTTTTAATCGAAGTCTTCCTTGGCGTTGCCGTCCTGACTGCTTAAGGTCCCTATTATTACGTTGTGCAACGGGCGAAATATAGAGATTTGTGATCATTATAGTGTAGTGTGATCGTACTGGTGGGTGTAATCCTGTGAAGGACTGTTGTCGGTGGTGATGACTGGCGTTTCGACGACCTGAGCGGAAGTTATTGTTAGTTGAATAATTGGTCAGTGTGGCCGTGATGTTATTGGCTGTAAGACTCAAGCGGCGTAAGTCCATCATGATTGGTCTGTTTGGATCCGTTGGTAAAGTTAGTTAATGTTGTGAGTGAGCGGTTTGCATGTATGGTGCTGGTATTAGTTGACACCTGTTGAGGGGAGTCTGTTCTAAGTTTGTAAACTAGCTTTCCAGAGTCAGTCGTTGAAAGTAGTTAGTGCCGTAGGTTAGGCATCGCGCAAAGTCCCAGTCAATAGTGTGGTTCGTAAGTCGATGATGTTCAGCTATGTGATTGTTGACATCACCTTTCCTCGTCGTCCGCTTGTGTTCAGTCAATTTTTTTTTGAGAGTTTTCGGTACCGTTTTATGACCGTTAAACAGGTTTTGTTTCTTCTCCTTTGCTATCTACATAGGATGATATATTAAGGGCAAAGCACATCACGTAACATAAACAAATTTGCATATTTACGGAGGCGAATCGTGCGAGATTGGGCTAACTTTTGGGTCATCTGAGTCTTCAAAATGTCTAAGGAAAAATTAGAAATCTGGAACACTTTTTACTTGTAGTTATACATTATCACGAGTCAAGTTCTCGCGCACATAACGATCTAATTACATTTCTGTCAAAAATTCCTTTAGAGAGGGTCTAAAGAGAATCTAGTAAATGATGCACGACATAACAAGGTAGGTTATGATACAACGCGCAAAACGATCCAATCACATTTTTTCCCGCAATCCCCCTTCGTAATTTTCGAAATATTGTAACTGTTGTTAGTTTTCTATTTCACATTAATCGCATAATTGAATAAAATCTTGCATTCTGATTGGTTATAATTAAGGGGCCGACCATTTAACTCTTGAGGGGGGTGGGTGATTTTGAAAAAAAATTTCCTGCAAGCGCTTGTTGGAAGAAAAAAATTGCATGGAGCCCAAATGTAACAGAAAAAATGTAACCAAAAAAGAAACGGAAAAAATATCCTTCCCAGCAGATTGCTAGAAAAAAATTTCTTGATGACCAGAAATCACCCACCCCCTCAAAAGTTAAATGGTCGGCCCCTAACGAAGCGAGGTAACTGCGTGTTGAAAAGCGAGGGTAAATGATGTTGCTTCGCATCTCTTCTTTCGCGCTCTGGATAAAAACAAACTATATTATTGATATTTTCCTTTTTTTACTTTTTTTTATTCAGTTAGGAAACAAAAAGAGCTTTGTAAAAATGCCAAGCACCATCACTGACGTTATGACTGAACTTGAGCAGAGACGAAAATCTTAGAGTAAAAACGAAATAGAATGTCCGAGTCTTAAAGGTTTTCATGCTCAGTTAGATTGTAGGCTTACATACGGTAATAAAACTCAAACACAGCTAACGCGTGTATAGTATATGAATAAGGGAAAAAACCATATAAAAATAATGAAATTTACTAATTTTTTCCTATTTTCCGGTCATGGTAGTGAAGGAAGCCTCAGAAATACTTCATCCGCCCTTCGATTGAACAGCGAAGAGCTTGCTCTGATACTTATTCCCATGCGTTGAGTGGACGACCACTTTAGTCACTGCAGGTTAGTTTTACGGCGCTCTCATCCTAAACGATCTCCATGTTCCTGTGAATTCGGCTGTTTTTTTTTTTTCAAAAACTTTATTGGGTTTGACTTCTAAAAACTAATAAAAAAAAAAAATAATAATAACGATCTCCATGTTCCTGTGAATTCGGCTGTTTTTTTTTTTTCAAAAACTTTATTGGGTTTGACTTCTAAAAACTAATAAAAAAAAAAAATAATAATAACGATCTCCATGTTCCTGTGAATTCGGCTGTCGTCCATTTAATAAACATAAGCCTTGAGCATTTTTTTTTTTCTGTCATGAGAAAAAAAATTGCGTGTGTTTATGAGCCACAATTCGGCCGGATTTCACTGAACAATTCACTAAAACTCAATAAGTGGGGAGAAAAACTCGATTATGTCTCGTGTTTCTCCCCTACTCTTCTTTCGCGCCCTAGCCGCTTCCTGTGTGCTTTAATTACTACAGAACAAAGCACAATTATTATTAATTATTCATGTTATTCTTGGCGAACTATCTCGTTCCTGACGAATGCCTCAATAGCTAGGAGGACGGAGTGTGAGTTTCAAATTACAATATCTCGAAATTTAAACTCTTACTGATAGCTAAATTAGGGATGTTATCTCAAAAGTAATTCTAAAATCACAAGGCTGGGTTTGTTCAGTTGTCAAATACTATTTATAAAATGATCAATTTACCGAAAACACACGAGTATTTTTAGACTTCACTGCTATCGTAAGTCACGCAACGGCACTCGCTTTCATGCAATTTTCAACATTACAAGTAATCGCTGTCAAGCGTTGCCTGACTTAAGTGTAGAAAATTCAATTTTTTCATATAAGATAGAAAGCATGCGCAGCTAACTATTTCTGTCCTACTTTTTTTACCTATCCGGGATATTTTCTACGCCGGTGATTACGTCATCTAAAATTCTGAAATGAAGTCATCGCCTTTTGAGGTTACAATGCTTCGACCTCCCCCCCTATAATAGTGTTCTGAAGTATTTGGTTATTTCGTTGTGATTATGTAATTCTTCTGTATTTAGCACATAGTAAAAGTACGTGATTACTTTTGTTTTAGCGATCAAGAAAGGTTTTCCTGATTTATAGACATCTCTTCTACCACAAGTAATGCAATATCATGCACACTCACTTTCATGCAATTCTCAGTATTGCATGTAACTGCTGGCGAACTCACTGAGTCCGTTACAGCGCGCACTTTAACGCGTAATACGATTGAATCATCATCCGTCGAGGTCGTTCATTGATTCGAACCTCGAGTGACTTTAATTTTATACATCGGAGACAAATGAATTCGCTTTTCAAGCAAATGATTGAAATGTCATTCGTTCGTTGGTGCTGCGTAGATTTTTACTCGGGCTTCCCTGTGGAATGCCCGAGTTATAAATTGGGCTTCGTTATTCAAAATGTGTCTAAACTGCTAGGAGGTAACTATCCTTCAAGTACTTGTTTTCTTAAATGCTCAGTTTTCTCTCGTTCGGCTTAATTAAAATAGAAATTAAATGCTTGCAGGGTTAACGTAGGCATTTTCTAGCAATTTCGGAAGAATGTAATTGTTGCGATTTAGCCCTATCGTCTGGCATTTACAGTATTTTTCTTTCTAGCCATGGCACCTACTTATGGTAAACATAAAGATAAATGAGAAAACTCCTCAATAACGTTTTACAAACATGTACTCGAACATTAAGATCCATAGACCTAGTAAAAGCTCTCCGTGAAAATAACATGAACAAGCTTGTAGAAAACGTGGTCAAAGATTGGATTTGGTCTATCAACTATGTATTACCCTCGGCTTGCGTGATGATGGCGTGAACTACGTAATGAGGCTTTATTTACATCTGAGAATCACAAGAATGTAGTGCCGGCACACGAATTTTTCACCCGGTTGAAATGAAATCAATATACGTGTGTTCTGTTAGAGCGACTTGGTAAAACACCAGCTTGAATGGATAACGGAGAAGATAGCAGAAACGCTTTCAAAAAGCTCAGGCGGTTCTTTTGTGGTGAAAGGTTCCAAGATAGCTTGTGGTCGTGGATCGTATGTTTTTCGGCGGCTGTCTGTAATGGAATTAATCTGGGGTTTACTCTCAGCTTTGGAGTTTTGTTCCCGGAGTTGATGAAGCACTTCAATGCCACAAGAGGGAGAACAGGTACGCTGGTCAGAAATCTGTTTTAATAATAAGAAAGTTATGAGTTAAAGATTTATTTTGCTTTTCGGTTCTGACCAGTGACTCTGGCCATATAGGCCTGCCGTCAAAAATAAAAATAATATCATTAACAACAAACATGAATAACAGAAAAGCACCTTTTAACTGCTATATGTAAAACTTGTCTAAACTGAGAAACAATCTTCAATGTAGCCAAATGATTCATTAAAGTGTTGATTTTTACAAAAAGCATCAGGAAAAAAATCAACAAAAATACAATCTACAAATTTCGTGATGAAATTGCGACGACTACTGTTTGTCGAAGACGGCAGCGTTAAGTTACACTATGCTTTAATAATCGACCTTTCCCTTATTCCCGCTACACTGAGTGCACCAAAGAGGGAGTTTTCAGATAAACAACAAGCCTGTAACTATATGCTGATTGCTCAACACAAGAAAAACAAATGGCAGTGGTGTAAACTGCGGATTGAAATAAATCTGCGTGGGAACTTTTATTTTCGTTATCTAAGAATGAAACCTGCGTTGGAAATAGAGAAGTTATGCGAGTAAACTGCGACACTACTTTTGGAAAACTCTGTGAACACTTCACTTTTATGGTGTTAGATTTCACGTTAGGTCACATGACACTACCCTTCACTAAGGCCTGATTACATGAGCCGGGCTGGCCCGGTTAGCCGGGCTGATTTCTTTTGTTTTCACGCTTTGGCGAACACCAAAACAAATCAGGCCCTAAGAGCGTAATTGAATGAGTTCCATCTTCAGTGAGGTTTGAACAATTATCACGGACTGCTAATAGTGTGATACTTCGTCAACTGAATTATCAAGTCACTTCCCGTCCATGTAGTTGAGGATGTTAACTTGTAAATTACTTTTATTCTGAAATTACAATCGCCCTATGAAATTTCTTGCTTTAATGGCTTACAATCCAGGTGAGTTGCAGGAGGCATGATGTGTAGATATTTAATTGTTAATCATTTAAATTTATGAGATGCAAATAGGCGCTAGAATGCTTACACGAATTCGACCGTTTGAAATATTTAGACAGGTCTTAAGGTTACCGTGCACCTTCAGGGGACGGTCTCGCGTGCAAGCGATGTAGCGCGTCCGGTTTAAACTGTAGATATCTAAATCTCGATATCAAATTAAAGCTTATAAGACTGGCTATCAGACTATACCAAAAATTTTGAAATAAAAAAATTAATTGCTGAATTTTTCACGACTTGTAAAATGTGAGCGCCAGAATCACCTCTTAAGAGCTACAAGTCGATTGCTCTCAAATTTTGACAGTAGCTAGTTTCATATATAGACAAAAAAACGTGTCTCCGAAATTTTTATTTCTAGATAATTTTTTCAAGAGCGATTTTTGCACGATCACTCCACATTTTTTTGATCCTATTTCAAAAATGTTCTGTAACTTTTCACTGAAATTGAATATGGCAAATCGCAGACACGTTTTATTAGCGCTTTGGCCGCGGAAACGGAGGAACACATTAAATAAGCGAAAACAAAATTCGCTTTGACCTGTAACGTCCTATAAGCTTTAATTTGATTTAGCGATTTAGATATCTACCGTTTAACCCGGGCGCGCTACATCGCTTGCACGCGAGACACCCCTGAAGGTGCACGGTAACCTTATGGTGGTTGAATTTCGTCTGATTAATTGAGATATCTGTAATCAAATGTTTTTTCCTGGTCCCTAAAATGAAAGGAGCTAATTTGAAATCGTCTCTTTCTCAGCCTGGGTTGGTTCTATAGGCCTGGCTATGGTTTGGTTTGCAAGTTTGCCGGCTGGATACTTGTGCGATCACTTTGGCTGTCGCACCACATGTTTATTAGGAGGACTGCTGTGCGTGACAGGTCTGTTAGCAACTTCCTTTGCAAACAGCCTCACTGTGATGTACTTTACCTACGGTTTGGTGTACGGCTTGGGGTCCTGCTTCATTTATAACTCTAACTTCTTGGTTGTTGGAAAATATTTCAATAAAAAACTCCCTTTAGCTGTTGGTATAACAGCACTGGGGTCAAGTGTAGGTGTCCTTTACATAGGCCCGTTGCTTCAGACTCTTTTGGACGCGTTTGGATGGAGAAACACCTTTAAAATTATGACGGCAACGTTCGTTCTAGTTTGCATTTTGAGTTTGAATTTCAATCCAAACGTAATAGAAACAACGATGGTGACGGAGGTAAAATCAGGAACATTGGACATGGAGCAACAAGTCGGAATTAAGGGCAGAATCTCTTTTTACTGCAGCGTGTGGATGTTTCCTGTTTACAGTTTTGTCGTCATTTCTTTGATGGTGGGATCTTTTGGAATGTATATTCCTTACATCAATCTGGTTAGTATACAACTATTTAGAGTAGAGGTAACACCGATAATCTTGATATTTTTTCCTTTTAATACTCTTGCCACTGAAAAAAAGATAAAATATTCATTTATATTTATTGTCTGGACGGAGGTTCCTATTAAAGAAAAACTGTACTGTATTTCAGAACTTGAGAATGGTTTGAGTCATAGGTCTCGTAACGATCGACCGTGACTGTGCCCAAAGCGGCCAGAAACGTGAGACCAGTTAATCAATTGCAAAGATTTAGGTTGGTTGTGATGCTTCAAATATAGATAATTGCAACAAAACACGCCAACTTGAACCAGGAAGACTCCAAAAATCAAATAGCAGACGTGTAGAATAGTCGTTTCGTCTCAGCTATGTAACGGCTCTTTCAGTAGATTTATTTAGAAACCATGTGAGTTGTTGTGGTTTAGATTAAAAACAAGCAAGTGGTTGGCTAGGGCTGTGTATAATGGTGCGAGAAGTTACACGAGGTCATCTTCGCAACCTTTGAGATGAGACATTTAGAAATTACTAGGGATTTTTATGTATGAAACAGTTACCTCATTATCATGACAGCTGTATCCTCAAAATTGAACATCAAACAATAGCACCTGGCAGGAGCTTCAAATATCTTCCAAATTTAGATATGGACGGTGATGATATGACCAACTCCTGTGTTGCCTTTATCATTTTTCCGTGTTCTCCTTTAGGAATTTTATAATGAGGCATCTGTATTAATCTTAACCAGGTCAAGTACTGTGAAGATCTTGGTTTCACGGCGCAGAGCGCCTCTCGACTGTTCATCTTCATCGGCCTCACCTCATCACTTGCTCGGATTCTCTCAGGAAAACTGTGCAACAATCCAAAGTTAAACCCAATATTTGTTTATCAGTCATCGCTGTTTATCGGTGGTGTATCCGTGCTCCTCTTACCTTTGGCAACCAAATACTGGGCCTTAGTTGTATTCAGTTGTGCTTATGGAATAAGCGATGGAATTTTCATAACCGCGCAATGTTACATCTTGCTTAGCTGTGTGGATAAAGAGAGAGCTACAGCTTCATTTTGTATCCTCAACTTGCTTTATTCATTTTCGGTGGCTACTGGTGGACCTATTGCTGGTAAGGAAATTAAAACCCTTACATGATTGACAAGTTATGTCACATTGTTATAGGGGGGAGGGGCCTTCCCTTTTCGAGCTTTGTCTTAGAGTGCGTTATCTGGACCCTGCAATTAAGATTTCTTCTGTCTGTGTTGTTTTCCACAGGTTTGATGGCAGACCAAAGTGGGAACTATACCAATTCGTTTTACATGACCGGTGGAGTTCTGATGTTAGCATTTGTTATTCCTTTTGCACTGATTTTTATCAACCGTAAAAAGTCTGAAGTCAGTCCAGTAGTATCAAAAGAAATGAGTGACGTGGAACCAACAACCACTGATCCAAGCACTAATGTGACAGCCAAAGACTTTCCTGTTGTCTGATTCAAAAGCTACTAAAATAAAATTCAGGGAACCATTAGGCTTTCTTTATCTGTAAGAACTATTGAACAAAATGATGAGTTCGAATAAAATGATGAGTTCGAACAAAATGATAAGTTCGAACAAAATGATGAGTTCGAACAAAAGCTCTTGCACTTTAGAAACCTCTTAAACAAGGACCCTGACTATAAAAGGACTTTTGCCCTGGGCAAGCCGTCAGTCATTTCACCCCTGACACCGAACTGTCGACATCAACCAGTCCGTGACCGTGCGATATCGGCAAAACTATTGTAACCGAAAGGTCACTTGCAGCCAGTGCATATCTCAAACTTCTACGAATTTTGCCATTTTCGTTTACGGCAAAGAAAAGATGATCGGCTCCACTCAGTTGGCTCCACGGAATGTACACCCGCTTGCGATGTCATTTCTGTAAGGAAGGCAAACGGNACTATTGAACAAAATGATGAGTTCGAACAAAAGCTCTTTAACTTTAGAAACCTCTTAAAGAATGTCGGGCCTTTTATGCATCACGACTATCAGAAGTCACGCAATCCACTCGCATTTATACAATTTTCATTATCACAAGTAACAGCTGGAAAGCGTCGACCGACAAAAGCGGGAAAATCCAAATTTATTTCGGAAGTAAGATAGAAAGCATGCGCAGTTAATGTTGATGTTCTGATTTTATTATCGGGATATCTAGGACTTTGATGACGTCAACTAAAATTGAATGAATGAGGTCGTCGCCCGTTAAGACTACGTAGACTCGACGTCTGAGTTATTCGATCCTTCTTCATTGAGGCCAAAGAAAAGTTCTCGACGATATCTTCATTGTGTGGACTAATCTTTAAAGCCTGCACTTTGATGCGAAGCTAAAACTCACTTGTTAAGATCTTCCATTCATTTGAACCTTGAATTAAATCGTTTTTAAACCGCTTCAATGTTTCCTCGCCACCGCTCTCCAAGGAATCTTCGCTCGCCGACATGACCTTTTAGATAACCTAGCTCTGCCACCAGAACAGGTTCTCAACACTTATTTTTACCCCGAAATTTTCTTTATTCCGAAACGAAATCTATATCATCTGATTGACATTAAAAAAGAAATGACCTCAGTGTTTCTAACGACCGCGACAATTGTCCTTCGAAAAATGACCTGGTTCTGGCTGAGGTATATTTCGGTATCAGACTACTCGTTGGAATGTCAGCTCTTGAAACTTGGAGAAACAGCTGATCATTCAGTCTTACATGTAATATCTCAAAAAGGAAGGTCCTAAGTAGGATTGTTATTTGTGAAAGTGACTGATGTTTTGACATATGTATGCCATAACCGTGCTCTATATGACACAGGGGTAGCATCTTTGCATCTCTCTACATGTTGATTCAAAGCATAGCTGTTCACAGCTGCTAACTATGGGGTGCCGTACGCGTACAGGAAAATATTGTGCCCGAAAAATAAAATGCAAAAGTTAAATATGTATGGCATGGATCAAATAAATATATGAATAGAATATATGTGCAACAGATATATGGCATGGACCAAGTCGATATATGGTACTGATTAAATAAATAGATGACATAGGACAAAAGTAAGAAAAATATATACGGCTACTGTGCCCATTGTCAATTTGGTCAGCGGAAGATTTATTCCTTCTCTGCTCGATCCTCGACCAGATACTAAGTTTTCCCGCTTTCCAAGATAACGCCGCTGGCCAAAGCGATAACGGGCACAATAGCCGTATACATTTTTCTTACTTTTGTCCTATGGCCGATATATATTAACTTGGTCCATACCATATATATGTTGCACATATATTCTATTCGAATATTTATTTGATCCATGCCATATATATTTAACTTTTGCATTATATTTTTTGGGCACACAATATTGTCCTGTACGGCACCCCGCCAACATGATCATACACCAGTTCCCTTGTTGTACGCATTTATGACCCTGTTGACTCCTTAACATTTTCCCCTCCGTGCAGATTATATGACCAGATCATATCATATTTTACCACAAAATGTAGTGGAATTCATCATCATGTGGCTTTCAGTCTATATGTCAAACAACATTCCTTTTCAGGGAGTCATAATTTACCCAGGTAATCATGCCACACAACTAATTACATATCGTAAGAAAAATTCCGGTGAGTATCACCTACGTTGACTGGTTTTGAAACCATTGCCTGTCCTAGGGAAACCTACAAGTGTGTATTTTACCGCTCAATATTGACGTGAAAGTCTTAAGACAAATGAAAACTGAATGTACCCTATACTGAAAAAATGTATCCTCTCTTCCTTGAGTTGCTGGTCAAGCTTCGTGATGTCTTCCCGTGCACTTTGAGGATTCCCTGCTTTTGTTTTCAGCTCAGCAGTTCTAGTTCCTAGATCATTCTTTGCCTGTTTTAACTTTCTTTCAATTTTCTCCGGCCTTCTCCTGGCTTCTCGTTGGGCTTCATAACTTCGGACTTGAATATCTTCTCTGAGAAAACCATGCGAATTTAATCTTATGAGTAACCATGGAAACCTGTCGAGGTCGTAATAACTAGCGTGCTGTCGAAGCCTCAAGTGGAGTGAGAAATCAAGGATTCAAGCCCTAGGAGCCAAATAGCAAACAGGGCCTTTGATTGCGTAACAAAAAGAAAGCTCAAATCAAATAAAATCTGTAAAACCTGAGAACATGGTAAATTAGCTGCCAAATATGTGTAAAATATAGCCAAAACAGATATGCGAAATCAACTTGAAGAAAGAATAAAATCGCTTAAAAAGGTCAAATCAAATCAAATTTTTAAAACCTTAAAACATGGTAAACCAGTAGCCAAATATGTGCAACATAAAGCCATATGACAGCCGAATAGATGCACGAAAATCAAGTTGAAGACGATGATTAAAATCTCTCACGCGGCGCGACAGAATGTTTCCATGTCTATCTTTGGGACTGTTGTCATCGTTGGTTTTGTAGACTTTGCTACACGTTTCTTTCCATGCCAGTTGAGTTTTCTTCTGTACATTTGCTTTTCCTTTGCGAGGTTTGCAAAGGTGTATTTTGATCAAGAATAGAGCAAAAAAAAAAGAAAACATTTCAGCGTACGGTCCGACAAATAATTTCCATATCGATTGTTGCGACTGTTATCATCGTCGATTTAAAGACTTTGCAGCCCTTTTTTTGATTGAGCATTCTCACAGACACTTCCTTTTCATTGGTAAGGTCTACATGGGTGCATTTTGATCATTCTAGCCTACGGCCTACGGCGACAGAGGCCGTTTTGAATTATGTTGATAACTCATGTACTCAGGCAAAATTGCGGCCTTTGTATCACCCCCAAGATATTTTAGCAGAAGACAAGAGCACGATATCAAGGACAGACGTATACCTTGTAGGGAAGGCTCGCCAATCTCATCTCCAGTCGTGCGTCTCCACTAGAGGAACGCCTCGGAAATCAATGTAAATTTGGCGACCAAAAGAGAAAAAGAACGGCTTGCATTTTCAGACTCGAGCATTCCTACAGAAGCTCGAGTAAAAAACTGAAGTAGTACTTTACTGGCAAATAGTTCCAAGATAGATCAAGGGCGTGGGTCGTAAGTTTTTAAGCAGAATCAACCTAGCTTTGCTCTCAGCTTTAAAAACTTACCGGCCTTAAGTCTGCAAGTTCTTGATTTCTCCAACAAATGGTTCTTTGAATTGGCGTAAGAGAGATCAACTACTCGCTGAGGAGGTAAAATTAAGGCGACTGAGAATTTCTGAAGACTATGACTGGGCTTAATTCTCTTAAATTGACGGTTTCTTGTTCCTTTTACACTCTTGACACAGGCACTTACCTTTCTCATGGTAAACAAAAAGAAGATTGAGAAAGCTCCTCACTTAAATTGACGGTATTTTGTTCCTTTTAGACTCCTGACACAGGCACTTACCTTTCTCATGTTTAACAAAAAGAAGATCGAGAAGGTTCCTCCGTTAAATATTGGAAAAAAAAAAGCTACTCGAAAATGACCAATACACTGACAGAAACCTGATTCGATTTGGTTCAACAACTTTGCCCTCAAGGCAGGATGGAACGAGAGTTTGAAAACGTCATTCGGCTATTATTTACATACAGAGTTGCAGCTTGTAGTTCACACCATTCTTTCACCTGACTAAAGAAAACATCAAGATCTGAGTGAGTTCTTTTAAGGCAACCTCGGTCAATCAACTAATATGGTTAACAAGCTGAAGTGGTTCTTTAGTGGTAAAAGGTTCCAAGATAGTTCGTGGTCGTGGGTAGTGTGTATCTCAGCGACTGTGTGTAATGGAATTAACCTTGGCTTTGCTTTCAGCTTTGGAGTTTTGTTCCCGGAGTTGATGAGGCACTTTAATGCCTCGAGAGAGAGGACAGGTATGCTGGTGATAAATCTGTCTCTGTATTTCATTGCTCGGTTCCGACATAAGCAGTAAGGACAACAAATGTTTATATTGTAATACACGATAATGCTAATTAGAATTAATTTGAACACTGGTTTTGATAACGAAGTAAAGATACATCTATGTTGTTGTAATGTAAAGTGGAAAATTGGGACTATCTCTCTATATTCCTTTACGGAGCTCAAATCTTACCATCTTTCTTATTAATTATGTTGTTGTTCATATATGAGACTGGGTTGGTGCTCTAACAACATGTTTAATCTTTCAAGGTCAGTTTTTAGCAGAAATGAATTTCAAGGTCAGTTGGTCAGGAGCAGTTGGCCGACTCATACCGCTAATGACTAGTACTTTCGAGTTCACTCGAAAGAGTGAGAACCAGAGTTGGAGTTTTCTCTATCCTTTCTTTAAAATGATTGAAGTACTGTATAATTTTTGATCATTCCAGAGTACAGTTCATTGATTTTATGTTTTTCGGCGTTCGAATGTTCACTTTTTGAGTCATAACATATTAAATATTCTGATACTCAAATTTCCTGCCCTCAGTCTTAAAAAAGAGGGCCAATTTTTTTGCTGTTATAAACTTGGAAAATTAAACGAGACTTACCTGTAAGTTGAAGTTTGATTCAGATTCTATCACATGACCAAGGAGGCAGGAGATAACATGAGATAGCACAGCGCATGCGCGACTCATAATTTAAAGAGTGTGGGTGTGTCAGAATTATGTCTTGATAGAACAGGTTAGTGTGCTAACCGTAGATCCAATCAGGCATGGGTGGGCATGTTATCTCCTGCCTCCGTGGCCATGTGATAGAATCTCAATCAAACTTCAACTTACAGGTAAGTCTCGTTTTCCAGTTCTATCACATGACCGGAGGCTAGGAGATCCCATGAGCCACACATTATTAACAAATTTTATCCAACCTTATAACTCGATCTAGTTATTCTATCCGTGTATATCATGTAATAGTGAATACAATTATGGCTCTGGCATAAGCAGTGCAAAAGATTGTCTTCTAGTCAACAGCAACATGAACGCTTATGTTAAAATACTGAAGTCTCAAGGCTTCATTTGTTTTTAACTTGAGTAACGTACAACCCTATGCCATAGGGTAAAACTGGTTATAAAAAGTAATTTTAGCTATAATGTAAGTACTGTGTCAGCTAAAGTAGGTTGTTGGACGATTGGTTTGTGATAAAACTTTAGAAAAGTAGCCGCTGATCCCCATCCAGCAGTAGCTAGTATAACATCCAGAGGGACACCTCTCTCTTTTGCTTTGGATGAAGTAGCTGCTCTAGTGCTGTGGGCTGTAAATTGGCTTGTGTCAATCCCTGCTAAATTAAGTCCGGTCTTAGCCCATCTAGATATTGTGCCTCTGGATACCCCATTTATGTGGCTGTATGAAGCTGACAAACAGTTTTCTCTCAGTGCCTCTCAGAGGCGCTGTTTTCTTAAGGTACTCTTTCAATGTGAGGAGGGGACAGTGGGTATTATCTCGCTGATAACTGCTTATATCAATGCTGTTTTCTCTCTTATTGGGTTTTCTGGTCTTAATGTGTTCTAAGAGTTCAAATTTACATGAGTGTGATGACATGTGCATGCCATCCAGGCTCAACAGATAGATGGACTTTCCTCGTTGTCCCGTAGCTTACAAGAGTAGCATTAGTAGCTTCAGTGTTAAGTCCTTTAAAGAAAGCTGTTCCAATGGCTGTAGGGTCTTGAGGTATCTAAGTACTGTAGCCACATCCCAAATCGTTTTGTAGCTGGGTTGTGGTTTACGTGTCTCGTATATTCCCTTTTGGCTCCCAGTGGATGGGAGCCAAAGGGTTTGATGCCTTCACTATTTAGGATTAATGACAATGCGGATCTTGCAGTGATTATTGTGGAATAACTTAGTCCTTGATTGTATAAGTACATCAGAAATTGAAGAGCTTCACTTATCTTTGGAGAACTGTGATTGATTTTCCTTTGACAACAAAATGCCAGCTACTTTTCCACATAGGTTTTGTACTGGTTTTGAGTTCCTTTACTCCAGGAAGCCATAATGATGTTGGTTATGTCTGGAGGAAGGTCTTGCTGTGCAAAGGTGTTCCTGATAAAGGACAGACCATCAGGTGCAGACCCTTGTGTAGAGGGTGTGGCACCCTGAAGGGGGGCATGATGTAGTAGGTTTGGTGATGGTTTGAAAATCCGTGGTTGGCTGTATAGTAGTTGAAGAACAAGGGGGAACCAAGTCTGTGTTGGCCACACAGGGACCAGTAATATTCCCTTTGCCTTGTCCTGTATTATTTTTTGTACACACCTTTGTATCAGACTGAAAGGTGGAAATGGAAAAAGTTAAAATTACTCCAATCTATGGAAAATGCATCAACATAAGTGCATTCTGGGTCTGGTTTCCATGTGCAATAAACATCTAATTGGGTATAAAGCCTACTGGCAAACAGGTCAATGTCGAGCTCCGGAAACACTGAAATTATCTTGAAAGCACTCTTTGCTAAGTGACCACTCATGCTTGTCTGAAAAGTTACGAGACTTATTGTCAGCACTTGTATTAAGTTTCCCAGCTATGTGTACTACCGCCACCCAAATATTCTTACTTATACACCAATTCCAAATTTCTTTAGCTAAATTATTCAGTTGGGGTGACTTGCTACCACCCATGTTGGTGATGTATGTAACAGCCGTTGTGTTGTCATAACTGTACATGAGTGTTTCTAGTATTATTGCAAAAAGCCTTAAGAGCAAAGAATGCAGCCTGCAATTCCAGAATATTAATGTGGTTGGTGGCCTCAGTATCTGTCCACCTTCCACCTATCTCTTGATTGCCAAGAGCTGCCCCCCCCCCACCCCTTTATTGAGGTATCTGTTTGTATAACCATGCTGGGGCTAGGGCATACAATATCCCGTCGTACAGTAGGCGCTCGCATTTAGAAGTCGTGAAAAATTCGACAATCCATATTCTTTCAAACTTTTTGGTATTGTCTGATAGCCAGTCCTATAAGCTTTAATTTGATATAGGGGTTTAGATATCTACAGTTTAAACCGGACGCGCTACATCGCTTGCACGCGAGACATCCCTGAAGGTGTACGGTAACCTTAAGCAGTTTATTGAAAACCCGTGGTGCACAGCTGAGTCCATTTGCTATGCACGTATACTGGTAAAGTATACCATTGAATATAAATTTTAGATATTTTTGGTGGGCACGATAAATGGGTACTGTATAATACCCATCTTTCAGGCCGATCGATGCCATGAAGCAGCCAGGCTTCATCATTTTTATTGCAGTTTCTCAGGTATCCATTTTAAAATGATGGTAGTGAACAAATTCATTGAAATCCTGCAAATTAAGGATCATCCGGTAAGTGCCATCAGGCCTAGGAGAGAGAAATATAGGGGAGATAAATTCTCCTGGTTCATGACTGGAGTGTTTAATAACTCCTTTACTGATATGGATTTCAATTTCGTTAGCCACAATAGCATGTTGTATGCGATTAAACACGCTTTACCGCACATTGTCTTGTTCTGGCAATAAGCCTGAATTGAATTCTATTTTCACTCCCTTGACATATTCTAATATTGTTGGGTCTGAAGTTATGGTACGCCATTCAGACAAGGCGCTGACAATTTGGCCCGCTCGATAGCTCGGCTGATTGTGGAATAAAGCGTGTAGCACATTATCATTACCATTATCAGCAATTGTTTGTGTCGTACATGCCTATGTTGTGGGCAAGATCGGCATTAGTTATGTTTCGTTTCCCCTCTTTCTTGAATTTTGATCTTGGAGGACGGCCTTTGGACAAAAAATCAGTCCTTGGCCGCTGATATGGCTGGAATCGCCGATGGCCTTGATGCCCCTGGCTGCGCTGGGAAATCGAGCTGTATTTCCTGTTGTTCCCTCGCGCTTAAAAGTGTGGCCTGACTTTCCTTGCCAGTTTGCTTGCGTCAGAGATATCCTTTGTTAGTTTGGATAAATCCTCAAACAAGTACTCTGACGTAGAATGGGCTGTGTTAGAATTACAGAGGTCCGAGTAGTCGCGATGTAGGTCAGTTCTTCATCGCCTGGTGCCTCAACGAATTCATATCATGGAAGCATTGCATGGCCAATGTTATGGCATCTGTCAACGTTGACACAACTCATTTGTCCTTCTCTGTGGCTTCAACTTCTTGTTCGATCAGTAGATTGGTTGCGTTGATCATAGCGACAACGAAGGCAACAAGTGCGTTCTGCTTGACTTTTGCGATTTCGAGTCGCTTGTGCGCACTTTCGCTGGGATTTGGTTCCAGATAAGTGGGTTCACTCTCGGCGTTCTAAATCCCTCGACAATCCTGGGCTGTGGAAATTTCTCAATTCTGGATTGGACTTTGTCCTCTTGTAGCTTATCCTGGAGGAGTCCGCCCATGAGCTTTACAAGCCCCTCATCGACATCGCTTCCCGTTTTTTCTTTGATGTCGAGTTCTTGGACTATTTCGGCGAACAGTTTGCTGCCTGAGGCTTTTGCCGCTGGGCTTTTGCTTGTTTCACCAGCTGCTGCGGGTTCTTTCTCGCCTGTAGCGGTCCCCTCGTCGCTCTCCTCTTGTTTATCGCCCTGTTCGTCATAATCGTAAGCAGGTTCAACTAGAGTAGCGACTGTTTGTTTAAGTTCTTTCATCTCCCTCAGCGCTGAGTTGAACATTTCAGTGAGATTTGGCGCCTCTGTGCTAGCCGAGCTCGTGCTCGTACCTACTTTGTCACTTGCCGCCATTTCTATAAAGTTGGCGGTTTAAGCTGGGCACCTCCAACTGCGTTGGAACGCTAGCTTTCGCTTCGGTAACCACCAACTACGTTGGTGTTATGTTTTTCCTGTTGGGGCCCTATAGTTTTCTCAACTACGTTGGGAAATATGGCAATCTTTTTTAGAGTTTCTCGAGTTTTCGTAGATCACAGATGATTCTCGCGCTTCAAGCACACGTGCAATGAGTCTCGCATTCGCCGTGCTATCTTATGGGATCTCCTAGCCTCCGGTCATGCGATAGAATTGTTATAAATTCGCGCTGTAGATGTTCTTTATTTACTTTCTGAAAAACGTGTTGCTAATTATGAATTGCTATCATTCTAACTAAACATTAATAATTCTATATTCGTCTCTTTTACAGCCTGGGTTGGTTCGATTGGCTTGGCCATGGTTTGGTTTCCAGGTTTGCTGGCTGGATACCTGTGTGATCAGTTTGGATGTCGCATCACGTGTTTTTTGGGAGGTATGCTATGCGTGGCAGGTTTGGCAGCGACTTCTCTCGCCAATAGTCTCACTCTGATGTACTTTACCTACGGCTTCGTGCACGGTTTGGGAGCGTGTTTCATTTTTATTTCTAACTTCCTAGCAGTTGGAAAGTATTTCAACGAAAAACTCTCATTAGCTGTCGGTATAACGGCGCTGGGGTCCTCCGTGGGCGTCCTTTGCAATGGCCCGTTGCTTCAGGTTCTTTTGGACGCGTTTGAATGGAGAAACACCTTTAGAATAATGGCGGCAACCTTCGCTCTCATTTGTATTTTGGGTTTGAATATCAATCCAAACGTAGTAGAAACAACAATGGCGGCAGAGGGGAAATCAGAAGCATTGGATACTGAGCAACAAGTAGGAATTAAAGGCAGAATCTCTTTTTACTGCAGCGTGTGGACGTTTCCTGTTTACACTTTTCGCGTCATTTCTTTGACAATGGGATGTTTTGGAATGTATATCCCTTACATCAGTCTGGTTAGTATGTAGCGGTTCATAACATCGCTAATACTCTCGTCACTGAATAAAGGATTAAATTTTGTTTTATGCTTTGATATTTGCGGAGATCCCTATTCAAGATAAATTGTAGCATATGTGAGGTCTTGAGAATGGTTTAAGTCTCGTAACGATTAACGGTGGCCGTGTACAAAACGCTGGACCAGCAATGAACGTGAGAGTAGTAAATCACTTGCGATTTAAATCACGAAAAATGATAGGACAGAACTCAGCATCAAAGTACGCTTAAGGGGATTAAAAAAAAAACAAGTAAGAGACCTTACACCTTCACAGGCCTTTGGAGAAAGCAATTTCAATTTTCCTAGGATTTTTGTTCCCAAATCACCCCATCATTTTGGCCGGGGATCTTGGTGCCACTTGGGTGCTAAAAATTTGTCTGTTCCTGGCGTTCTATAATCTAGTCTGGGCGCGGTAAGAGAGAAGGACACAGAAAGAAAGCAAGCACCCCGATTCTTTCTTTCTCGTGTAAAAACTGAACTCTTGAAACGGGCAAGTAAAACTTGTGGATTTGGACAGAATATCCACGAAATTAAACAACAACTGATAGGTTGAATAATCCCCTTCAAAATGCAGATGTTTAGGTTGATAGTTTGTGTCAAAACGACACCCATGTCATTTAGTTTTCTATCAGTATGCCTTATGAAGATTTTATTACACCATGATAACCATCTGTATCAAAATTAATCAGGTCAAGTACTGTGAAGATGTTGGGGTAACGGCGCAGAGTGCCTCTCGACTGTTCTCCTTCATCGGCCTTTCCTCGTCGCTTGCACGGATTCTGACAGGAAAACTGTTCAACAATGCAAAAATCAATTCAGTATTCGTTAATCAGTTATCCCTATTTATCGCCGGTGTGGCTGTTCTCTTATTACCTTTGGCAACTAAATATTGGGCCTTAGTTATTTTCAGCTGTGCTTATGGAATTAGCGATGGAATTTTTGTAACAACACAATGTTACATCTTGCTTAGCTGGGTGGATAAAGAGAGAGCTACCGCTTCATTTTGTATCGAAAGCCTGCTTACTTCATTTTCAGTGGCTACTGGTGGACCCATTGCTGGTAAGTAAATCCTTACATAGCACTGAAATATTACTCTTTTCAAGTTGTGAACACCCATAATATCTGAACAAGCAACTCCTTTATCTACACTTATTTTTCATCCGTTGATTTGATTTCGATCTCAGAGAAAACAGACAATGATCAGATACTACTCTTTCTCTTAAAGTGAGGTTAAGAGGCACGATAATCCCTTTTAACAGCAGTACAACCCCTTTGGAAGCCCTTTGTTAGATTGAAGTCTTTAATTCTTCATACAATAGAAGTAAAAAAGTGATGGGATTGCCAGTTGGTGAGCCACTGACACCTGGCATGTCATATTTGAACGTTTCAAACTGTTTTTAAGCTTGATGGCTAAGTTTATAATTTAGCATGTTTTTCTATTAAACATTTATATAACTGTCAAATATTGCACTCAGGTCAGTCGCCAGTTGCCTCAACACTGATAATTGTTTTAATTTTCCCACACCCTCGTGCTTCTCTTAGTTCTCATTCTTCCATGAACTAGGTCATAATTGACAAGGGCTATGACATGTTTAGTTTATGGAAGGGGCTGATCCATGTTCAGGCTTTGTTTTGAAATGCGATATCTGGAAGCTTTTTGCTAGATTTTCTTTTGTCTGTGTTGTTTTCCACAGGTTTGATGGCAGACAAAAACGGGGATTATACTAATTCGTTTTACATGACCGGCGGAGTTCTTATGTTAGCGTTTATCATTCCTTTTGCATTGATTTTCATCAACGGGAGAAAGTCTCAAGTCAGTCCACAAGTTTCAAGAGAAAAGGACGATGTGGAAGCAACAAACACCGTTCCAAGTGCCAAAGTGATAGCAAAGGACTTTCCTGTTAGCTGATTTTACTGAAAAATCAACACCATACAATATATTATGGCATTAAAGACGTAGATAGACTTGTCTGGTAAATCCTGATGCAGCCATCTCTTTTTTTCCAGTCAAGCCGAGGAAAAAAAACGGCTTTAACAAGCGATCTCTAAGTAAAGCCGGAATTTAGTTACACGCTTTTCATTCGCCTCCACAGTTTAGAACCAGGTCTCAGAGGTTGAATCATTGCAACATCAACGGGCAAAGAGCTCTTCCCACTTGTAAATTTATGTGATGTCACTAGAAGCGTAAAATTAAGCGTCGGTTATTTAAACAAAGTTTAGCCTTTTGATTAACAAACCCGCTTTCTAAACTATCTTCAGCTTGGCTGAATCTTTCATCTTAACATTTATTTCGTGATCCGTAGTGTCAAGAGGACCAAAAGCTATCGGTGGATGGTCATTTATTCAATTCAATCTACCTTCTTATATAGAAATCCTGAGGCCCATGCTTGCGTAAAACCGCGGTTTGGGTGAGACCTCGTTTAAATAACCGGCCCTCATTGTTTCTTAAAACCAAATCACCCGCTCTCCCCTCTCTTCCCTCTCTTCCCTCGGTCAGGAGCCTGGGTACGAAGGATGAGGTTCTCTGAAAAGGTTTGGTTTTCATATCGCATTAATGGAGTTCAGAAACTATGGAAACTACAACTGCCAATGTTGTGGGACCGTTTGAGTACTACAGATCCTTTTGTGGGGATCATGCAAACTTATATGGTCCCTTTCTGCTTGAAAGTGCCAGTTTTGACAGACACACTTAGCCAACTGTTTTTTACTTGTTTTTGTTTTTGTTAATTTTCTTTCATGATTTTGAAAATATGTTTGATTTATCTTTAAGGGATCAGTCATTATCTATCGCCGGTGTGGGGGGAGAGGGGGGGAGTAGGGTCCAGGATCTTAGTGGGGATTACGTGGTTTCCAGGGGTAACAGGGGGGGCATCAGTCGTTAGGGCTGTCCACAAGTTGCTCCAATTTTCTCAAAAAGTTGCTCCAATTTTCTCGAGAAGTTGCTCAAAAGTTGCTCCAAAACTCTAAAAGTTGCTCAAAAGTTTCTCCAAAATCCAAAAGTTACTCAAAAGCTGCTATCAATTTTTTAGTGTAAGAGATTGATTAACACCTTAGATAAAGATTTAATGAATAGATTTCACTTTGCATAGATATTATATACATAATTATATCATACTGACTCATCAATATTGTAAGACTGAGTCTCTCTCTACCCAAATCATAAAAATCTGATTCTCTGTATTGTCTTTCTATTACGATAACCACGTGATTGTATTCGAACAAAACAAACTTTGCTAATATGCTTATTAAGGATATAAAGTTTCTCTGACATACACGAATGTACGTGGTATAAACCATAGTCTTTCAATATCTAAATCTTTGCGGATGTAGTATAGAGCACTGTCCCTGTTGATCAATGTTTTGCACCTCTCGGCTCCGCCATTTTGAATTTTTCAGCATATCCGCTGACCACCTTCGGCTGCTACCACAGGTAGGCCACCAGGGGAGTAGTGTTTTTTTGTTTACTAAAGGTATTTTACGCAAAATCATGCATAAAAGCAACTGATGCTTTAAATTAGAACTTGAATGGGCGGTTTTTACAAATTTAGGCCTCACGGAAAGGTACCCCAGCCATGGAAACCGTAACCCATGAAAATCTCAGACATGCGCAGATTACAATACTTTGCAGCTCTGCGTGAGAAAAGGAACGCGGGCTCGTGCCGTGAGTTGTTTACATCAAAGTTACAGATTTTTGTTAATTAATCGCCGGCCGACTCGCCGACGATGAGACCTGATGACACGTAAAAGAGCTCACGGCAGCCAGTTTTCCAAAAATCAGCCACCAGTCAAAAAGAAGCCGAGAAAATATGTGAATTATTCCGAAGAAATACAAAAAAGTAGCATTGCAGTGCAAGTATGCAGCTTTTTAAGTAAAGAAAAACTCGATCGACTCGAGAGAGAGTGTAAGGGTTTGAGATCCTAAAACGCCAATCTAAAAGGAACAGTCAAAACCCTAAGACGCAGTCTAGGTAAGTGTTTTTAAGGAGGGAATGGAAATGCAAACACTTGCAAATGTCTGCGAATACTACTGCAGATTGTCTGAGCCACCAATCACGGTGACTGATTTTCATTCACATTCTGAATTTGCGCCGGTTGCAACTTGCGCGACCGTAGTTGATACCCCTTTAAATGGTTTTAATCATAAACCGAAACACTCCCACCAAACAGAAGCCGAAGAAAAAACCTCTCGAATGTTAAGATAGAGTAGTCGATATGGCCGCATGGTCAGTAATAAAATGTAGAGGCAAGTTAATTTTTCGGTCGGCAAATCATAACGACGCGTATCTTTAAGTGTCATACAGTATCGAGAGCTTCTAAACATACCTCATTGATAGGATTTCTAGTCGGACATTTTCACTTTGTATTCTTTCTTTCCATACTCTATCATGTGAAATCCGTGAGTTACATTTGACTAATTTCAAATGTCACCTTTTCATAATTTCAGTATTTGTA